ATTTGCATTTCTCTGATAATGAGTGATGTTGAGCATCTTTTCATGTGTTTGTTAGCCATCTGTATGTCTTCCTTGGAGAAATGTCTGTTTAGTTCTTTGGCCCATTTTTTGATTGGGTCATTTATTTTTCTGGAGTTGAGCTGGAGGAGTTGCTTGTATATTTTTGAGATTAATCCTTTGTCTGTTGCTTCGTTTGCTATTATTTTCTCCCAATCTGAGGGCTGTCTTTTCACCTTGCTTATAGTTTCCTTTGTTGTGCAAAAGCTTTTAAGTTTCATTAGGTCCCATTTGTTTATTTTTGCTTTTGTTTCTAAAATTCTGGGATGTGGGTCATAGAGGATCCTGCTGTGATTTATGTCGGAGAGTGTTTTGCCTATGTTCTCCTCTAGGAGTTTTATAGTTTCTGGTCTTACATTTAGATCTTTAATCCATTTTGAGTTTATTTTTGTGTATGGTGTTAGAAAGTGTTCTAGTTTCATTCTTTTACAAGTGGTTGACCAGTTTTCCCAGCACCACTTGTTAAAGAGGTTGTCTTTTTTCCATTGTATATTCTTGCCTCCTTTGTCAAAGATAAGGTGTCCGTAGGTAGGTGGATTTATCTCCGGGTTTTCTATTTTGTTCCATTGATCTATATTTCTGTCTTTGTGCCAGTACCATGCTGTCTTGATGACTGTGACTTTGTAGTAGAGTCTGAAGTCAGGCAGGTTGATTCCTCCAGTTCCATTCTTCTTTCTCAAGATTGCTTTGGCTATTCGAGGTTTTTTGTATTTCCATACAAATTGTGAAATTTGCTCTTTTGTCATAGTTTGTCAAAATTTGCTCTTTTGTCAAAGTTCAGTCACGTATATTCCTATCATAGAAATATGTGTACTTTTGAGTTCCCTATTATGTCCCACTGATCTGTCTATTCTTTTGCCAAAATAAAACTGTCTTGATTACTATAGCTTTATAGTATATCTTAAAAGTCAGGTACTGTCAGTTCTTTAGCTTTGTTTAACCTCAAAAAGATTTCTGGATCTTTTGCCTTTCCACATAAATTTTAGAAACAGTTTGTCAATAACCACAAAGCAATTTGCTGGTATTTTGACTGGGATTGTGCTGAATCTAGACAAAGACCGTAACTACACTGAGTCTTAACTATATTTGTGTGTGTGTGTGTGTGTGTGTGTGCATGTGTTAGTCACTCAGTTGTGTCTGACTCTTTGTGACCCCATGGACTGTAGCCCTCCAGGCTCCTTTGTACCACTAGGGAAGCCCTAACTGTAGTCAGAGTTTTCTTATCCATGAACATGAAATATCTCTTCATTTATTTAGTTCTTCTTTTATTTCCTTCTTTAGAGTTTTGTAATTTTCCTCATGTAGGTCTTATACATATTTTCTTAGATTTATGCCTAAGTCTGTCTGTCTTTCTTTCCTTCCTTCTTGTCTGATGTAAACAGTGTTTTATTTTTCATTTCAATCTAATTACTCATTGCTGGTCTAGAGGAAAGAAACTGACTTCTGTACATTAACCTCGTTTTCTTCAATACTGCTCTAATCACACTTTTCACAAAAGAAAGTCTTTTTAACAACAACAACAAAAAAATTTGGATATCCACGGCCAAAAAATAATAATAATAAACTTAAACCTCACACATTAAAAATTAACTCAAAATGGCAAAATGGATCATAAACTTAAATGCAGAATGCAAAACTATAAAATGTTTAGAAAAAAAAATCTTCAGGATTGATAGCTAGGCAAAGAGTTCTTAGGATAATCCATAAAACAAAAAACTGTAAACTGGACTTAATCAAAATTATAACATTTGCTCTATGAAAGGACTTTTTAATAGGATAAAAAGACAAGCTACAAATTAGGAGAAAATATTGTAAATGATATAGCCAAAACAGGACTAGTATTTAGAGTATAGTTTTAAAGAATTCTTAAAACTCAACTGTTAAAAAAAAAACCAAATAACAAATGGGAAAAAGACATGAACAGATATTTCACCAAAAAGGACAAATAAGCACATGAAAAGATGTTCAACATCATATGCTATAAGAGAAATGCAAATGAAAAATGCAATGAGATATCTCTATATACTTCATCAAACTGGATAAAAAAAATTAGCAACATCACCAAATGCTGGTGAGGATGTGGAGAAAATAGATCACCAATTAAGTTGCTTGTGGGACTGCAAAATCGTACAGCATGCTAGAAAACAGTTTGGTAGTTTCTCTAAAAGCTAAACATGCAACCACCATATCAAGCCTGATCCAGCAATTGCAGTCCTAGGCATTTATCCTAGGGAAATAAAAGCTTATGTTCTCCAGTAATCTTGACTGGAAAATTCTATGAACAGAGGAGCCTGGTGGGCTATTGTCCATGGTGTCACAAAGAGCCAGACACAACTGAGTGACTAAACAACAGTAACAACTGGGTTTTATAATATAAAAAACAGGGTATCAGTATTACATGCTCAGCAGGCGCCAGTGTGGGGAACTGTGGTCATCTTGAGGAAAATAAGTACTGTATGAAGGTACTACACTTCCAAAGATTAAGAACCATTCTGCCTGCTAAACAAAATATATTCTGAAGGCTGCTGGTTTTGTAATCCTACATTTGGATTTTTTAGGGGGGAGTTCTGTTACTTTAAAATTAAAAGAGAAGCATTAAACAATAAAACAAGATACAGTAAAATCTACTTATTGTAAATTCCATCTATATTTAAAGTATTCTAAAATAACTTATTGGTAGCTATTTTTTTCTAGCAGAAGGAACAGCATTTTCTTGTGTGCTGTGTGTGTGCTTAGCTGCTCAGCTGTGTCCAACTCTTGAGACCCCATAGACTGTAACCTGCCAGGCTCCTCTGTCCATGGGATTCTCCAAGCAAGAATACTGGAGTGGGTTGCCATTCCTTCTCCAGGGTATCTTCCTGATCCAGGAATCGAACCCAGGTCTCCTCATTGCAGGTAGACTCTTTACTGACTGAGCCACAAGGGAAGCATTTTCTTGATCATATTTTTAATTTTTATTATTTTTTATTTTTTAAATGGCCAATACAGTTATGAATAGGATTTGCATGTTTCAGCTTTTGTTCTTTTGTCATAAAACTTGAGATAAAAATTATTTTAGCTGTAACCTAAAATTAAAGTCTGAAAAATGGCAGATGTTAACTTAAAAGCAGAATATACTAATTTATTTTGTTGTATAATGCTTATCTCTTAGGGAAATTTGATAAGCTTTCTTTTGTCCTAACTTAGAAAAGTATATGTCAGAATTCTGGTATATGTCTAATTTCTTCAGTGAATTTTATCTGCTTAAGTAGGTTTATAACACATAAAGCAAGAAAGAATGTGTGTAACTATAGTGAACAATACAATTTTGTTCATATTATCTGATGTTTGCTAAAAGAGAAATAAAAGATGAATTAAATGAAAAAGATCTTATGTTTACTCAAAAACCTGTACATGATGTTCGAAGAAGCTTTATTCATAATAGCTAGGAACTGAAAATAATTTAGATGTCTTTCAATGGAGAGTTAAACTTAAGTATATTTATCCATATCATGTAGCATCCAGGCCATGTTTGGCATGCATATCCATACTGTGGAACACAATGCAACAATAATTTTAGAAATAACACATGCAACAACTTTGATGAATTTTCATAGAATTATGTTGAAGAAATTATGCTGAGTTATATATTGTGTTATTCCTTTTATATAACATTCCTAAAATAATAAAGTTAAAGGAACAGAGAACAGATCAGTGGTTGCCAGGGATTAAGGATGTTGCTTGGAGAGGGATACTGGAAAGAAATGTGTGGCTATAAAAGGACAATACGTGAGATCCTTGTGGTAATAGAAATGCTTTGAATTTTGACTGTATCAATATCAATCTCCTGGTTGTGATATTGTAGTATTGTTTTGCAAGGTTTACTACTGGGGGAAATTAGGTAAAGGACACAGATTTCTCTGTATTATTTTTTACAAGTGTATGTCAATTTACAATCATCACAAAATAAAGTTTCATTAAAAACTTATATAATGCTTACAAGTTGAGTAATATATAATATTTCTGACTTTGAGAAAGAACTGATGAGTTCAGTAGGTAAGACAAGTATTCTCATTAAAAAATCACAATGCATTATGGTAATAGCTACATCCACTTACTATGCACCATACACTGTCATAAGCTGTTTACATATACTAACTCATTTTGTTTTCATATCAATCCTATGAGGTATTATGATGATAATTATTTTATGGGTGAACAAACTGAAGTGTAAAGATATTTGGTGAGTTATACAAGGTCACACAACTTGCAGCTAACAAGTGCTACAAGAACTATATACAATGTATGGCACTAACACAGAGACTGGAGTGACCCACTATATCCAAGGAGACAAAGGTTGATGGAGTAAGTTCCACAGAACTGAATTTTGATGGATATTAAGGAGGTTATATGGAATTCTAACAAAGGAATCAACATATGCAAGTTTCAGTGATGTAAAATAAGAAGATGCCACTGAGGAAAAATCATTTAGTTTTCCTGGCTCTTAGTTTTCTTCCTCATAAAATAGCTCATACCGTCTATGATTCTACGCTGCTAGTGTATGAAGTTAAATTAGGTCCTGTAGGTACAGTCCTTGTCTCTATGCAGTACTAGAATAATTTATGGGAAATGTGTCACTGTGCCCAAGAAACAAGGATATACCTATTATCAATTATAGATTAAATACCATTGTGACACAAGTTTAAAAGTCTTTGGAGTTGGCTGGGGAAACCAAACCACCATTTATAATATTGTTTCTATGGGAAAATAACTTTCAAACCAAATACGGCATATAAAGCAGTTGTTTAAAAATTGTGCATGTTCTGTTCAAACATATTCTAAAATGTCTGTTCATAAGAAAAGAAAGAAATGGGTCCTTTAAAAAAATTAGAATCAGGCTTGGAAGGAGCTGTAGGTCTTAGAGAAAAGTTAATGAATAATCTTTTGTGTTTGATGCCAATTAGCTTTTATAACAGTTCCAGCCTTCAAAGGACAGGAAGCGGCAGAGAAGAATTCAAAAGAGAATTCGAGACTGGAAAAAAGTGGCAAAGGGTAATCTCAGGAAAACAGTGCCTATGTAAGCAAAATCATTTCCTTTCTTTTTAGTTCAAAATGGAAACGAGCAGGATGCTGAAAGATGAGGGGAAGCAAGCAAAACCTGAGTTAGGGTAGCAGAAAAGAAACAGCCTCTAGGGGTACCCTGTAGTATAACAACTAAGAGTAGTACTTTTTCTTAGCTCTTCATCCCTGTGAGTGAGAAGAAAAGCAAGACTTCTTATTAAACCAGAGTAAAGCCAAGGTTAAATCACAAGAGTGAAAGTTTTTCTGATGATGAAGTGTATGCTGAGATGTTTTATTCAACTGTGCTCTGAATTTTATGTTTTAAATAGAAGCCCTAGGTTTATACTGACTATTCCACAATAGTTATTTACATTTATAATTTAGGACACTTTTCTAAACTTGAAATCCTTATAGTTAACTGCCTACTTGATGTCATCACTTTGATGGCTCACAGGTATATCATACTTCATAAATCTGCCTTCTTCTGGGCCTCCCACATAGCACGGTGGTGAAGAATCCACCTGCCAAAGCAGGAGACACCAGAGACGCGGGCTTGATCCATGGGTCAGGAAGATCCCCAGGAGAAGGAAACTGGCAACCCACTCCAGTGTTCTTGCCTGGAAAATTCCATGGGCCGAGGACCCTGGTGGGCTACAGTCCATGGGGCTGCAGAGTCGGAGTGCCTTCTTCTACCCCTAAGTCCTGGCACAGCTTCCCCCCAAGTCAGACATGACTGAGGCAACTTAGCATGCACACACGCACATGTATATATGTATACATATATGACACTGAATCACTGTGCTGTATTCCTGAAACTACCACAACATTGCAAATCAACTATAATTCAATAAAAATAACAGTAATAAAACAAAAATATATGAAAGTTATGACAGAGGTTATAATATAAGGGTCTACAGAGCCATGTTTTACATGAATAATACACAGAGGGAAGTTCAGTTAGTATTTCTTTAAATGCTCTATTGGGATCTTACTTTTAAAGTTCAAACACTCTATAAGAGAAATTTCTGTAAATCCAGGGCTAATTCATATCAATGTATAACAAAAACTACTGTAATGATGTAAAGTAATTAGCCTCCAACTAATAAAAATTAAAAAAAAAAAAAGAGAAATTTCTAAGTAAATGTTAGCATTTTTAAAGATCTACTTTTAATAAGTTTGAAACTAGCCACATTTTTAAAGGAAGAACATTTTAAGCGGTAACAGTATTAGCAAAAAGCAAAACAAATTATCTATATAATATAAACTGTTTCATCGAGGTGGGCAAAGCTTCATTATGACATTAGTGCTTTTCTGAGTTTCTCCTTTGATAGTAAGATACTATCAAATGAAATACTCTATCAAATAGGTTTATGTAAAACTCCTAGGCAGATAATAGAGGAATAAGAGAAACCTTTTACCAATACCTTCAACTAAAGTAGTACACAGAGGGTGAAAAGGAAAATCAAAATTCCATTTATTGGCAATATGTAAAAACAGTTATCATGTTATTCATAACTGCTTAAATCCATGCCATTTTAATTTCAGAACAGTATGACCTTGGTATTTTCTAACTATAAAAATAAAGGATATATAATGAATATCATTGATGTCTTCCTTTACTAACATGAAATGCCAATCTCCTCTTTCTATAATAAGAAACAATCTAGGCATTGAGTATTAAAGCAGCAAATACTGAAAACCACTAGCAATTTTTAAAATTAGTTTGTCATTAGTTTCAATATTCTTACTTCTGAATACAATTGCTAACCAGAAAAAAATGCTATTTTTAAAATTTTCATCTAGTCTCTCTTCCTGCCCAACTCTTTTGGAGGTATAAAATAAGAAAAGAGTAATCAACAGAAGGGAGGTGAAAGGAAATTAGAAACAAATTACCTGGATAATCCATACACTGAATGATCATTCCATGAATGTATAATTAAGAACTAACTGTGAAACACATCGTCTTTATACTAAAAAGTCTCGTTACTCTCATTTTTCTCTTTTTTAAAATTTATTAAAAAAATTTTTTTAAATTTAAAATCAAGTATAGTTGACTTACAATATTGTGTTAATTTCTGCTGTATAGCAAATTGGTTCAGTTTTATATATAAAACTGATGTATATATAAAATAATATATATATTCTTTTTCAAATTCTTTTCCAGTTACTCTCATTTTAATGGATATTTTTTGAGCCAACAATGACTAACCTCTACTATACTGACTTTTTTGCTAATTTGTGTTGAATTTGGTGCACTACATTTGCTTAAAATTAAAATAAAGTATGCCTCACATACTTCAGACTCTTGACGAGGGTGAAGGAAGAAAGTGAAAGAGCCAGCTTAAAACTAAATATTAAAAAAACTAAGATCATGGCATCTGGCCCTATTATTTCATGGCAAATAGAGGGGGAGAGGGGCTTCCCTGTGGCTCAGCTGGTGAAGAATCTGCCTGCAACGCAGGAGACCTGGGTTCAATCCCTGGGTTGGGAAGATCCCCTGGAGAAGGGAAAGGCTACCCACTCCAGTATTATGGCCTGGAGAATTCCAAGGACTGTATGCAGTCCATGGATCACAAAGAGCTGGACAGGACTGAGCGACTTTCATTTTCACTTTCAAAGGGGGAAAAAGGTGGAAGTAGTGACAGATTTCCTCTTCTTGAGCTCTAAAATCACTGCATATGGTGACTGCAGCCATGAAATCAGAAGACATTTGCTTCTTGGCAGGAAAGCTATAACAAACCTAGACAGCGTGATGAAAAGCAGAGACATTACTCTGCTTTAAGATTCCTCCAAGCCTTTTCATGGCTTGATAGTTCATTTCATTTTTATGCTGAATAATATTCCAATGTTGAGATGTACCAAAGTTTATTTATCCACTCACCTTCTGAAGAACATCTTGGTCACTTCCAAAATTTGGCAAACATGAAAAAACTGCTATGAGCATTCCTGTACTAGTTTTTTGTTGTTGTTCAGTTGCCCAGTCGTGTTCAACTCTTTGCGGCCCCATGGACTGCGGCACGGCAGGCCTCTCTGTCCCTCACCATCTTCCTAAGTTTGCCAAGTTCATTTTCGTTGCATCAGTAATGCCATCCAGCCATCTCATCCTCTGATGCCCTCTTCTTCTTCTGCCCTCAATCTTTCCCAGCATCAGGGTCTTTTCTAATGAGTCAGCTCTTCACATCAGGTGGAGCTTCAGCTTCAGCATCAGTCCTTCCAATGAATATTCAGGACTGATTTCCTTTAGGATTGACTGGTTTGATCTCCTTACAGTCCAAGGGACTCTCAAGATCTTCTCCAGCATCACAGTTTGAAAGCATCAATTCTTCAGCACTCAGACTTCATTATGGTCCAACTGTCACATCTATACATGACTAATGAAAACCACAGCTTTGACTATTAAGATCTTTGTCGGCAAAGTAATGTCTCTGCTTTTTAATATGCTGTCTAGGTTGGTCATGGCTTTTCTTCCAAGGAGCAAGTGTCTTTTAATATCATGGCTGCAATCACCATCTGCAGTGATTTTGGACCCCAAGAAAATAAAGTCTGTCACTGTTTCCAATCTTTCCCCAACTATTAGCCATGAAGTGATGGGACCAGCTGCCATGATCTTTGTTTTCTGAATGTTGAGTTTTAAGCCAGCTTTTTTCATTCTCCTCTTTCACCTTCATCAAGAGGCTCTTTAGTTGCTCTTCACTTTCTGCCATAAGAGTAGTGTCATCTGCATATATGAGGTTATTGATATTTCTCCCGGCAATTTTGATTCCAGCTTGTGCTTCATCCAGTCCAGCATTTCTCATGATGTACTCTGTATAGAAGTTAAATAAGCAGGGTGACAATATACAGCCTTGACATACTGCTTTTCCAATTTGGAACCAGTCTGTTGTTCCATTTCCAGTTCTAACTGTTGCTTCTTTACATACATACAGGTTTCATAGGAGGTAAGCAAAATGGTCTGGTATTCCCATCTCTTTCAGAATTTTTCTGTTTGTTGTGATCCACACTGTCAAAGGCTTTAGCATAGTCAATGAAACAGAAGTAAAAGGTTTTCTGGAATTCTCTTGCTTTTTCTATGATTCAACAAATGTTTGCAATTTGATCTCTGGTTCCTCTGCCTTTTCTAAGTCCAGCTAGCATATATGAAAGTTCTCGGTTCATGTACTACTGAAGCCTATCTTGAAGGATTTTGAGCATCACCTTGCTAGCATGTGAAATGAATGCAATTGTGCAGTAGTCTGAACATTCTTTGGCATTGCCCTTCTTTGGGACTGGAATGAAAACTGACCTTTTCCAGTCCTGTGGCCACTGCTGAGTTTTCCAAATTTGCTGGCATATTGAGTGCAGCACATTTAACAGATCATTGTTTAGGATTTGAAATTGGAATTCCATCACCTCCACTAGCTTTATTTGTAATGATGCTTCCTAAGGCCCACTTGACTCCAGGATGTCTGGCTCTAGATGCGTGATCACACCATTGTGGTTAGCTGGGTCATGAAGATCTTTTTTGTATAGTTCTTCTGCATATCCTTGTCACCTCTTCTTAGTATCTTCTGCTTATGTTAGGTCCACATTTCTGTTCTTTATTGTGCCCATCTTTGCATGAGATGTTCCCTTGGTATCTCTAATTTTCTTGAAGAAATCTGAACATAAACGCCCATGATATGAAACATCTATAAGGTTACTGATTTCAGCATTATTTCTAATACCAAAAGAACGGAGATATCCCTTGTGTCCAGCCACAGATGTAGAACATAGTTTTCCAAATTCTTCCTATGTGTTTTCTGCAATGTGCCTATGTCACACCTCTATCAGGAGGCATCCAATTCTTTTTCCCTTTAGATCTGCGAAGGCCTCATGACTTGCTTTAACCAACCAAAAGCAGCAGCAGTGACACAGGGCCAGTTTTAGGACTGGCCTAGAAAAAAATGATGTCACAGTGGCAACAGGCACATATAGCACCTAGATTTTTGTTTCTAAAAACAATTACTACTGAAAGCAACCATTCCACGGTGTATTTCAGGTCTAGGCAGGGAAGGTATCAATTTTTTTCTAGGCCATTCTACATTGCCTGAAATCAAGGAT